TTGATGACGTTCATACAGTTCCAAAGTGGTAAGTATATCACTCATTAACAACACATTGTACCACAGCGTTTTAGAATTTGTTGTTTAAAGCCATAACCATCAAATACGAGATCAAAGCATAGGTATCATCAAATTTGCTACAAATTAAAGCGGGAGGATTGTCACCTGTGCACATGCAGGAATTGAGTCTCAAGTGATGATAAACAACACGTTAAAAATGCGTAGGCTTATGAGTAGATGCTTATTTGTAAACAATGACACGCTATGGCCATCTGCCATGCGCAGGTGATTATTCTCTACTTTAAACTACACGTATAACTATTTGATTTGCCGAAACTGCCCAATTTGTGACAGCCATAGTACAAATTAGTTAAATAATGCTTTACAAAAATTTGTTCTCACTCCTTCCAAGTTTCAAATCCTCAAGCCCCTAAGACAGAGGGAAAATGAATTACCGGTATCTATATTAAAATAATGTACACATGTTGAGTATCTTAATTTTTGCTCTTTACAGGGGAAAGCAGACTATTGCTCAAAGTAACAAAGACAGACGCAAGGAGCAGGAATGTGCACTTAGAGAGTATTTTTCCTATTTAGGAGAACTATGATCCTATTTTCCTGATGTGCATTGACCGCAACAGCATCCTAATTGTTACAGATCAAGGACAGTCGCCATTTCAGACTGTAATAATATAAATGTTTGTCCCAATAAGGCTAATGTTATATATGGTGTTTTGAAAATTGTATGTGATATCCCCTCAACTTTTTACTGGATGGTTGATAAGTTGAGAGAGGAAACTGACCAGTTTCCACGTACACTTGTCTACTGTTCATCACTTTATTATACATCTAGATTATATGATTACTTTGAAGAATATCCTGCCTCAATTTCTTACATTGGGATGTACCACAGCGAAACTGATTCTGTAGTATAAGAGTCTCACTTAAAAGAAATGACGAAAGTGTCACATACAGAGTTGCATATTATTTTTTGTACAACAGCTCTTAGAATGGGTATTAATTGATATGAAAAATTTTCATCATGTTATTCACTATGGTCCTTTATTTGATATAGAGTTGTATGTACAGGAATTTGGGAGAGATGACAAACCATCTCATTCCGTTATTTTGTATCATACTTAAGAAACACAAATGTATGCAGACGGGTGAAACTTTATGAAGATTTTGCTTCAAGTTTGGAAATAAATCAATTGAAAAGACAAAGTATTATATCACAGTTGTTGTGATATTTGTGTACTAAGTGTTCATGTGGACATGGCAAAGATGAGAGTAGTTACCGGTATATTGAAAGACATCTTATTCATTACTGTGCAGATAGTGATAGTGTTAGCAGTGACAGTATAGAGTCTGTTGCAATAACTGAGAATAGCTCAAGCACTGGTACAGAGGACTGAATGTGCCATTGATAATAGCAGTGTGAAGTTGGTATAATCAGACTGGCATTGTATTTGTATTTTATTGTCAATGGATTAAAAACATTTGAAGAATAAGCATTTTCATAATGTTATTCAGTGGTGAACGAGAATTGATCACATTGTCATAATTTACAAGTGTGACATGAGGATCTGTATTTGTTATCCAACAGATTCAAACAAATATTCCTGAATATGTGAAAATTCTTATTTTGGGGATATTTTTAATCCAATGTTGATACGATGCCAAGTAGATTTTGAAAAACTTCAATAATAAATAACTACCGGTAATTAAATTTGTAGAACCTTTTTTTTTTTTACCCATTTTTCCTCAGTATGAGTCAGCCATGTTATTTGTGATTGACTACAGAAATTGTTAAAAGCTCTATCTTGCATATGAATTATTACTTGTAGTACAAAATTTCCTTTATTGGATCTGTCCCCATGGTGGGAATACATGTACAGAGACATCAGTTATATTATTTTTAATAAATTATTAACAATTGCCAATGTGTCTTAATTGCTGTGAAAACAGTTTTATATTTTGTTCCCTACACACATTTAGAACTATAAAACCATGTACCTAGGGGGTGATCCTTGTTGACAATACAACTGCATTTTATTTTTTGACCAAAAAATGATTCTAACAGACTAAAAACAATCATATCAGCTCTGCTGAGCACAGCCAACCATTTTTCAATCCAATAATTTCATCTGTATTCCGGAGAATCTTTTTTTCTGGTGTATCCACTGGCAAGATTTCCAGCTTTATTCAAAAACTCTTTTTTTAAAACCAAAACTACATACGACATAGTAGCTAACAAACAGAAACAATCTGAAACTAAAAGAAACAAAATTAATAATTAGTTCACTTGTATTTACAGCTCCTATTCACGTTATTTCACGATAAATTATTCAATTATAGCGGCAAACACGGGGATTTCGCTGTAGTTTTCCTATTTTCCGCGGTTTTCTTTGTGAGATCAACCAATTTCGGACCATCGTCCTCAAAATAATTGATGAAAAAGTTTCGGAACCCATCGACAGTAGAAACTCGAGGCAAAAATAATGAAAAAAAAACTGCTGTTAAAATAGAGCAACTCGCATAGGATAGAACTGCAGCTCTCTGATTTCGCGTTAACACAACGATGAACGAAATACCAGACAGCGAAACAAAGCGAGCTACAGAACTGCAGCTAACCTCCGACGCAAAATAACAAAAAGTGATTGATTGATATCCATCATTACGAATGAATACAAACAAAATTGCATACATACATACATACACTGTCAGTTGACTAAAGTTGTCTGTCGTTTTTTGTTTTTGTTTTTTTACCAAGAAACGAATCTATAAATACACAATATACTTGCCAATAACAACTCCGAAATCTTCATGCTGGCGAAAAACTAAATGGCGACCATAACAAAAACACTCGCGTAATCTTGCACATGTTACAACGAATTTGATTGGCTGCTGTTTTTCTCGTGAATTGTGAGACTGGAACGAGAGTTCCTATGCGGGTTGTTCAGATCCAGGTGGCTTTCACGAACAAAACCATTCTTGCAGCAAAATAATTGTAACGTTAAAAAATAATTAAAATAAATAATAATAATAATTATAGTAAATAATTAAAATAAATAATAATTATAGTAATTATATAAAAAAAAATAAAAAAAAAAATAAGCCAACCAGGATCTTATTTTAATCAGATTGAGCACGGACTCTGCTTTCCTCTCGTTTGCATTTCTGTGAAGCACGTATTTTGTAATGACAGACGTAATTAGATGTCATAAATCCACCGTGACGTTGAAAATTTCCTCAAACTACACTCTCGAGAATGATGAAAGAATAGCCTGAAAACATCAGAATGAATAAATACACCCGTCGCTGTTTGTGATCTGTTTACAAAATCGCCATATTTGAAATGTTAATATTTGTAATAACGAATCGTATTGGTCGACGACTTTCTATCGCGTCCAGTCAGGTATGACTTCCAACATGCACGCTTATGGATAGACTAACCGCACGGGTTCGTAGAGAAAAGGGATGAACGGATTCGAAACTATGCGAGCTGACGATGTACGACTATTTGATTGACTTAGCTGAGTGCAATTCGAATGATCTGGTGTGTTTGCGTCGCATAGGAGCAAACAAAATCATGTGATATCTGTCAAGCGAGATTGAATATCCCGGATGAAAGTATAAACATATATACAGAAAGTATATACCTGACATCTTACAAACATGTATGGCTACTAACTTATTTAATTACAGGTGATAACAGCTTGGCGATATGACTGGAAACCATTCCCAGAGTAAATGTAGTACTAGTTGTAATGTTATGGGCGGAAGGGCAGTACAGACTGAAATCGGTATATAACCCATGATCTAGTAATCCCAAGAGTACAGTTGGTGAAAAGTTTCCTCATGAAATATTATGTGAATATTCTACGAAAGTAACCTCAAACCCTATCCTTTTCGGGGGAGTAGCAGGTCCCAGATGGTATTGTTAATTTCTACGCTGGGTGATACTATCATACAGATTAAATGGGTGACAAAGTCAAGTGACAATTTTAAAGTGAAGTAGAGTTATGTTTGACTTTACGGAATGCTCACAGGGCATACCTAAATGTATACTCATATCAAGTCCCCCGAAGAGGGACGGGGGACATTTTTCTTGCAACGGGGGTCAACAATTTCCCAAGAATGCTCAGCATTTCAGTTGTTGTAATTTTAATAATCAGTGATATCACACACCTCATTCACGGATAAAAGACAACTTCACTTGTTTTGGCTCATATATTAGGATAATTATTTTACTTCATCTAATCCCGAGAATAATGATAATAGTTTATTTTTGTTATATTTTAGTCCATCATGCATACAGTAATTATTAATTTCAACGTTATTTGTAAGCGTAATCAAGAAAATAATTTTCAAATTATTAAAGACATTTTTATATTTTGTGTTGTAAACATAAAGACAGCAATAGTGTTTCTTGGAAAAGAGAAGCGTAAAGCGTAAATACAACGCCTCAAAGGAAACATGTCCGATAAGTACTACAACGGTTCTAAACACGAAACTCCAACGTCCTCATCGTGGCTGCAGTCATTAACTCCCCATCCGTTACTACCACATTCACTTAAAGTTGTCTCTGTCCCTGTACATATTACGTCATCCATCCATATTATTCCGCTACCTTCGCCAAAGTGACTCTCAGCATGAACTTCACCACTTCTGTAAAAAGATACAAGCTTCATGAACCTCCATTTTTATTTGTAAAATCTCCATTTGCATTTGTAAACTCTCTATGCGTATTTGTAATACAAATTTGCATTTAGTTTCGTCTCAGACTACTATAAAACAGACTAGAAACGCATATTGTTGTAGTTGGGAATTACGCCCGTAGGATGCGTGTCTCGGTAGACCTCGCTGCTAGTTTATTGACGCACGTTTCCCGGAGATTCCCGAACGTACTCGCATTTACCTGCATCTTGTGTTTTTGTAATATCATTTTAGGCGCATACTTTTTGATATGAAATCTGTGTGTTTTGACCTTTCAATCGTCGTCGTTTCATATTTATTATCTCCTACTTTTGTCTACGATATTTATGAATATATAATGAGCAACTTTATAGTAGTGTTTCTCAGTATTTCTTTATTTTGAATTTTCCCAGAATCATATGTAAACAAATTTCTATAATGATCAAATGGCGGTGTTGGCGTGCAGAGTGTTCCTTTGTGTAGGCGCTTCGTAGTTTGTGTGGACAATGCGTTTGACAACTTGATATGCTCACGTAACTAATTTTAGCTACAATGTATTTCTATTCTTGCACATATTTACAGAAATATAGAGAATAAAAACAGAAATAACTTGCATATGTTTTGTCGTATTTGTGGGGAGTTCTTAACGAAGAAAAATGAACATTCAAGAAAGTTCGGCGCTAATATCCGTCACAACGCCGTCTGTCAAGTTTGAATCGTCAGCACTCCAATAAACTCATTATTGAACTTTTTGTATTCCTTATAGAAATTATCACCCAGAATAGCTTCCCAATCATATTCATCATCGTCTCAATCAACAAATTTACTTGAACAAAAATGTTTCCATTGAACAGATGAAACAATTTTCTCGACTCACCCAAATGATGGAGGACTTTTTGTGGTCCTAAATTATTTCTAAACATCTGCATATTTTCGTTAACATTGTGCTTTATGAAATTGTTATACGTCACTGAAAAACATAAAGGAATGCTATTTTATGGTGCCATGGGACTTTAGCTTCATGATTTAATAATAAACCAATGAACATTGTCATTTTTAGTAGTCTTCACCACAGTACGCTATCGTCCCTATTCTATAATGCTAACGTAATTATTACACAAGACTTTGCCACCAAAGTTCCGATCGCGTCGCGCAATATCCTATGGCGAGTGCATGATATCATAACTCGACTGCTTCCTATATTACAATACTATCGTGCAAGGCTTTCCTATCGTGTTACACAATATACTATAATGCGCCATTGTGCATGACAGTTTAACATGGGTTTCTAGGCTCTAATGCATATCGTGCAATGTTCCCAGACCCTATATCATGCTATTGTATTACATTATATCCTATATTATTATTCGATGTTATTTACTTGCTTTTCTTTCTATGCCAGCAGCTATGAGTTTACTTTATATCTTGTCATGTATGCAACACATTTTCTCCTGTAATGTGCTAACGTGTATTACCATGTCTCACTGTTACGCATACTGTGACTGGTTGAGTATTACATTGTATCTCAGAGGGACTGTGAATGGTATATTGCATATTACATATGGAGATTACATATTATTATACATCTGTCACCGTAACGCCATAAGCTCCAGCCTTACGTAATTTTACGGGGTATTTTCATCCTACCATATTAGGAAAAGCGAATATGGAATGATCACGCGAGTAAAGCAGTGTCCTCTGATAATAAAAACAAACATGGCTGCCACCATGTTTGACCGGATTCAACACAAAGAAGTTCGCTGATTATGTTCTAAATATTTTGGATTTCGGCATTCCAATGGTGTATCCTTGGAAGGAAAAGATGTATAGTAATAAGGTTATTACGAGAATACCACAAAGTATGCACTTAGACAGTACGCCGCGCGTCGATCGATACTCCCGCTTTACTCTCTTCGTGCATACCCCAGCTGTACTCGAAATGGATTGTTTAAATGGACAAGGCAGAAGTTGATGCGTCGAAAAAACGCATTGCTCTCTAACTTGTCTGACAGTTGGGTGTTATGGACTAAATTCACGGCGGACAAATTTATGAAATATAGTACTGATTGACTTATTTGAATTTGAAGCTCTCAGGAGACTGATTTACAGTAAGTGTCCCGTGATCTTCTGCCATCTTTAAAACATGCAAGGTATGTGCTCTCTACGTTCGCAAATCGCATGCAAGTGGTTTTACGAATACAGATGAATATTTTACCAATACGAATGGTGATTTTACAAATTGGGATTCTTGATACAAATAGAAATCATGGTTTTTACGAATACAATTGGAGATATTACAAATACAAATGGGTGTTTAACGAATACAAATAGACATTTTTAGTAGGAATAGAGATAGAAATTTCACGAATAAAAATGGAGATTTCCCGAATACAAATTGATACTTAACGAATATAATTTGAGGTTTTATGAATTTAAACATTGCTCTTAATATCTTTAATGAATATTGCAACACTTCATAGTTGGCACTATGTTCATACTAAGTACTGGAACGAACCTGTAATTAAGCTGCTTGCAAACAACCTGTGCATCTTTAATATCAAAATTGTCATCACACACAGTTCCCCATGTGTTGTCGTGTATTATCTCAAGTCGGCCTTCATAGGGTGTCTTTCCTCCAATTAGTCGAATGTCGTGAAACTCTAATAAAATATAATTTGCCATAGTATTAATAAGAATGTGCACTTTGTCCAGTGTTTACTTATATTTCGTGGACAGTGTGTATATCATATACACAACTTTGGGTTTAGGTGCAATGTACATGAATGCAAAGTGATGTGATGTAATAGACAAATTAAGATGCACACGTTACTGTCAAAGCACGAGTCACACTATTGCACAATCACCCCAGTAGACCACACAAGACAGCTATTGAGTGAGCCAACCAATTAAGCTTTATGATAGTGATACAATGATGTGTGTCAATAGGGTGTCAGGGGTGCTCAAGCGCTCAGAATCACAGACAGTGGTGTTAGGACTGACTAACTTGTCTCGAGTGGAAAGTAAAAAATTAGTTGCCTGGCAGTGAACCGTAGAGCTCCCAAATCAACCTCACCTCCCCGTGGTACGCCCTTGGCAACTAGCTCCTCGCGGTCCTAGGCAAACGAGGCTCTGGCTAAGGGAAGGAAAACCCAAAAAAGAAACCTACTGCGGAGGGCCAACAACCCGCCCAGTTCAATCGCTTGTCACATAACTGCAAGAAAGGAACTAATTAGTGCCAATAGGCAAAATGGGAACTGTAGCCTGGAAATCATCAGGATGGCCACTTCTGATGAAAGCTCCGTTTGAGAAGTCAGGCGGACGATGGACAGTTTTCTGAAGCCTAAACAAAAACCTCGTATTGGTACTTGGAATGTACGAACTATGCATGAACGTAACCATCTAAAACGGATCAAGTCATTAATGAAATGTACAAATACAATCTTGACATTCTTGGAATCAGTGAAAGCCATTGGAGAGGATCAGGTTCAACAGCGGCAACCAACTCAACCATCTTATTTTTCGGTAGAGAAAACTCTATTATTGAAATTAAGAGCCGAAGACTGAAATGGTTGGTTCACGTTCTCAGAATGCCACAAGACTCAATTCCCAAAACAGCACTTCGCTGGACGCCTCAGAATCAACGAAACAGAGAGAGGCCAAAAAGCCACATGAAAAAAGCCCATTACCTCAGAACTTGCCAAGGCAAACGTGACAAACGTGAGATGGCGACCAAGGATAGATATGAATGGAAAAACCTAATTGCAGCTTTATGACCCGGTGTGGGATAAAAAGGACCACACAATGATATGCCATCTTCATGTTGGTAAGATCTAGGAGCCCAGATGGTCTGTTGGCTACCTCCGCTTGATTGTATGAAAGTCTCCAGTTAATCTGGGAATTTTCTTAACTAACATAGACACACACCACACGAACAGGTGGTTAAGCGCCATTGTTCACAACTAACTGCGTAAACATGTGTCATATACTGTTCCTTGTCCTGCCAGATGCTAGGGAGTGTAATATTTCTCATATAATAGCCTATAATATTATATTGCATTTGGTAATGTATCACTATTTATTTAAGGTAGTGGTATCTGGTTACCAAATATTGTGTCACCTGGCATTTTGCATATTACACCGACATCTTCGCTGTGAACACAATCCGTAATTCCCCATCCACCATGGGTACATTGAGACACGGATGTTTCCACACCAGTACAGTTCAGATCATCTAACCATATTTTACCACTTCCTTCGCCTAATTTCGCCAATGAACGGAAGGTTCCTGGACTGCAGAGTAAACAAAGGAAGTAATGATAAGTCCTATGTTGCTTGCTGATTTTTTTCTTATAATGTTCCTCATTGTTTTTGTTTTATGTCAATAAAATATTTCACTTACAAGTAATCAAGTTGACGACATACAACTGCGACTGCTTTAATGTCAAAATCGTCATCACAAACTGTTCCCCAAGAGCCACTGTGAAAAATTTCTAATCGACCTTCCAGAATAACACCACTACTATGTGCACTGACTTCTGCATTTCCGGGTACCAAACGTATTTCTCCATCTTCTGCAAACAGTAGTATTTTTTTCGAATAAATTAGCAAGTCATTGGTGATAACATAGTCAACATAACATTTGTAATAATTACCGCATCGTGTAGGTTGTCGTGTGCTGGGCTATGAATATGCTTCTTGTTAGTGTGAAGTCTAAGCCGCATACATACATAAGCAAAACATACCAGTGCACAATTTCGGTATAACACACAAAGGTTAAATAATTAGCTGACTTGAATTGAATTTATTAATTTTTTATTTGTAATTTTGTCTGCATTCTGTGACACAATACTACTCCGGTTTAACACATATTATATTAATTGTGTACATAATTTAAAAAGGAAAAAAGTGTCTATACAAACAATAAAATAACTGACCATCTATACTATTTGCATTAACTATACCTGGAAGATGTACTTGACGTCCACAGACAATTAGTGCATCAACATTGTTAGCACACTCTCCTAGACTAGTCACTCCGCCTTCAATTTGGCCACAATCCGAGAGCCTTTTTTCTGATCCATCGCAATGAAAATATAAAGGAACTCTTGTAATCTCTGATACGTTTCCTTGATTTATGCTTGAGAGTTTCAGTCCATCACTGCAAAATTGAGATAATAGTATTTCACCAATTCGTAACTGGTTATAAGAGGAACAGTATTTGTTCTTGTGCATTTTCTGTATTTGGCATTGCTTTTCTTTCCAGAATCGATATCACATAAATATATCCTTATTTCATCTAACCTAAAATTGTCTGGTTTTTCTGTTTCTCATGAGTTGTATGTTATTATGTGATTCGTTTTATTATAAATAAACTCCGTTTGTTGATTGTGTTAAATGAACTCCATAATATACAACCCCTGACAGAATATCGTGTCACTGTCAATCAATACTGTCCTTGTGTTTTGTCATAAAACGGCATGTCTAATTGTTGTATTTTGTAAGCAGTTCCAATTTGTTAATTATTCATTGCATAAACTTCGTTCATTTGTTTCATTTCTCCACTGCGCATGTTTATTGTAGCCCATTTGCTTCGTTCTGTTTACATGCACTGTTTACATCGCACGCTGTTCATGCCCAGTCATTTCTGTTCGGGTTATTTTCATTTTCCTTTCTGGCTATGCCAAGAAGTAAGCGTCGCTCAACATGCTTTGGCTTCCAGCTCGATGTGGGAACCCACACTTGGGGCAAGCACAGAAAATTCTGCACCGGTCCACTGCCGTAGGAAGAGAATTGCCGTTCATCGAGCAGCTCAACTGCCCTCCTTAAGTAGTCTCTTTCCATCTCAAATCTCCGACGTAATTCGCCCACAGTTTCACACGCGGAACCACACGGTTATTTTGACGAGTTTTCAGACGGGGATGAAGACGACCGAGCTGAGCTAGCTATTTTGCAGTGCCGGAAACAATCCTTGTTGGCTAGAATCGCGAAGCAAAAAATTACAGGCGTAAATCTCTCAGCTGGAACTGGAACTTGTTTCTTGAATGCACATCCACCGGCCACCGGCCTATCATCCACGCGCCAACAGGGCACATCGCATTCTGATCACCAAATCTCGGACATTTCACTAGCGGAAGTGCGCAAAATGACGAATCTTCGCTCGCAGGTTGATCACGAATTGTCTCCATACTTCAATGCCATTGGAGCAAACAAAGGACACGCGGCTGAGAACAAAGGACCAGCCGGTGAGTACATTATTCGCGACAGTCTCGTTAATTCCCCCGGGCGTCATGCCGAGAGAAAGTTGCCCAGTTTGAAATCTCCAGATCAGTTTGTTCCATCATTCTTTTCTTCACACGAACTGAAATACGACGACTTATCACTCAAACAATTTCTACAGGGCAGGACCCATCTATGCCCAAAGCAGAACAATAGGGGCCGATTACGTCTCTTGCACGATTTGTTTGTTAAACTACCATTGTACAAACGGAGCTATCACGCTGCAGTGACTCGTTTAATCGATGATAACAGACGTTCATGGGACAGCGATTACTCAGACATGAAAGAATTGTTTTTTTATTTCTCAGCCGACAAGTTGAAATCAGTCAACCAGAAACAGACGACAAGCAATGGCAACAAAAAATACCTCCAACCCGGACGGATTGCATGTGTTAGTGTGTACAGCTTTCAATGCTCATTCGATCCATGCAAATTCAAACACATTTGTAATCATTGCTATGTTACCTGCAATCATCTTAATAATCACAGCGATAAGCACTGTAAACAGAAGTCAGGCCCATCCATGCCACCACTACACCACAATAAGCCCCACTCCGCGTGACTCCAGGTGCAGCCCTCAGACACCACGACATCAACTTGTGACCTCCGTGTTCAATCAACTCCTATACATGTATCTCTAGACGCTAGTGTTATCTCGCACACCTATGCCAAGCAAGCCACCAGCAGCTACATCACAGCTGTCACTTACAGACACAGCATTACCCAAGTTCAGCACCACAGGGCCTTTATAATTCAAGGTTGTCGAATCCTGGTCTCTTCTGGTCTGAACATTCAGCGACATTTTCTACGTGATTATGACGACGGCATCAGCGACTTTTATAATTTGGTTGGCCCATCAACTACTCGCGTGATTTTCTCCCTACTTTGCACACACCGAATCACACATCGGCATTACATTTCGCAGATCATGTGGACAGTTTTTTGGAATCGGAGCTCTTGCTGGGTGCATCCATCGGGTCGTTCAACACTTCGTCCTTGTCTCGTCCGCTCATTACATCACCATTAATGACCGTGGCTAAGAAAAGCTCATCTTCCCGTCGCGTGGTCATCGACTTGAGTTTTCCAGAAGGCTACTCAGTCAAGGACAGCATCCCAGGGGACAATTACATTGGGTATGATTACAAACTGAGATATCCTACTGTTGACTCCATGCTGGATCGCATTCGTACACTTGGTTCTGGTTGCCTCATTTACAAACGCCACCTCAGCAGAGCATACAGACATCTTCGCGTGGACCCGGGAGACTACCACCTGCTCGGCTATTCATGGAAAAGGAAATACTACTTTGATGTTTCCCCACCTTTCATGTTATGCACAGCGCCCCTAGTGTGTCAACGGTCAACCAATGCAGTGCATTACATCCTCACAACCAAGGGCACGAGGAGATCAATTATATCAATGATTTCGGCAGAGCCTAGTTACCAATCAACATTACTGCGGCTTTTGAGAGTCTAGGAAATCAGCTCAATGAGCTTGGCCTTCAGGAATCTGTGGCTAAAGCATGCGCTCCTGCTACTAGTATGACTTTTCTCGGTTCTGATTTTGACACAGTCAACATGACCATTTCCGTACCCGTCGCCAAACTCACTCAAATTCAAGAAGCGCTATCCAACTGGAACAATCGGTCCTCTTGTTCCCACACAGAACTACAAAGTCTCATCGGTTTCTTGTCCTATGTCTTGAATTGTGTTTGCCCAGATCGTTTGTTTATTTCCAGCATGCTGTCCACGCTTCGCACATTCACACCCGTATTGTTTCGCAAAGATCTCTTATGTTGGCAGAAATTTTTACAGGACTACAAGGGCGTTTCTATGATACACACCCAATCTTGGTCTCCACCAGACACTGTTGTGTATACAGACGCATACCTTTCAGGCTGCGACGGCATCTCTGTTACCCAGTTCATCCGCTCACTTTTCCCACAGCACATCATCAACATTGGTTTGTCTATCAACGCATTGGAATTGCTAACAGTTCTGGTCGCACTCAAACTCTGGTCCCATACTTGGCGCAGGTTTCGCTTGCAAATAACCTCTGACAACACGACAATGTTTGAATTGATCAACTCTCATCCTAACCAATCAGATTTCGAACTCAGCTGCTTGCGGGAGATCGCATACTTCCATGCACATTTTGAATTCAATATCTGGGCCATAAACATCCCTGGTAGGAGCAATGGAGCAGACGCAGCAAGCCATTCACATTTATCTGGCATTTACAAGTCTTGTGTGGAAGAGTTACAGTCAAACATGGCATCTCAGAAGTCGGCGTACCTCAGGAAACATTCCAGTTCATTCACCCTTGGTAATTCGTAGCATTTTCTTTTTCACTCCTGAAGGTAGTCAAGCTCCGCTCGCTTCTCTGGATCACCAGGCGTCCCGCTCATTCTACTCGGCATTTGCTTCCGGTTCATTGCACAACATTACAACTCAATGGCGTGCATTCTTCCTTTTCTGCCATTTCTTTCGCATCCAGCCAGTGTCGGCTACAACACAAACTATTATTTGCTACACACAGTCTCTCGCCCGCTCGTTTTCAAGCACAGCATCTATTCGCAACTACCTCAACGGCATTCGTCTGCTGCATCTCTTCGTCACAGAGACCCAACCTTAACTCGACTCATTCGAACTGTGACTTGTTCTCTGGGGAATACAGTGGATAACCAGCCTCGCCGCAAGTTGCCTATCACACTGGATATCCTTCTTTGCATTCATCATCTCTTGGACTTTACACTCCCGCTGCACGTTACACTGTGGTCCGCTTTCCTCATCGCATTTTTTTCATTCCTGTGTAAGTCCAACCTGGGTCGTCGCCTCAGGACGGCGTCATGTATTCACGCTGCTATCAAGTCCGGCCGAGTCAATTCAACACTTTTATTTTTGGCCTTTTAGAGCTGTATTTTGCTGCATGCCAGAAATTTAATTTTAGATTCTGAATCAACAGAATAAAACTAACTAACTATTTTCCTTTGCCATTGAATAATTCCGGTGTAATCACTTTCTAATTGCACGCTCTTCATTGGGAAATTACTTTGCAGGGCATCAACTGAAATTGATGTAGACATCAAACAATGTCCCTTTGCGTTCATGCATGAAAGGGTTCTTCTACTCAGCACGTACACTCATATAGAGCTTTTGATGCTAATCCATGCCTAAAGTTAGTCAGCATAAATCTGTCATATAATGCAAAAGAAATGTGTAAAATATCAATGGTTTTTAGAAAAACTGTCCACTTCAATACACTCCAATATTCACATGACATATTTTGCTTCACTACCAGGGTCCCTAACTACACACCTTTGATGATACAGACTTATGAACAGGTAGTCAATATTTCTAAGCCATTTTATGTCAGACATCAGGCATCTATTTTTTGCGGTGTGTTTGTACACTCCTGTGTTGCGAAGCAGATCAGTGAAGGGGGTCATATTGTTATGCTAATATAAATCTCCAGAAATAGATCCACTGTATTTACATGACAATACAAACTGGTAGTAACATCCAAGACACCTAGGTATATTTGACTAAAGATGAACTATGAACTTGAATTATACAGAAAAGCAATTAGACATTTTTATATATGTAATATGTCTAAAAGGAGAAGATATACCAAGACCAAAAGACAAATCCAAAACCTTGACATTATATTGTGCTTCGCAATAATATTAACAGCCGTAATCCTAACTCAACATGTGATTCCACATACAGATCACACCTGACAGGACCAGGTGATACCTACAACAATCTATGATACAGTATATTGGGTAACGTTGCTAATGGGAAATGAGTGAGCTCACTGCTACTACGGGAATAATGAGTCTCTACCTAGATTATCTTTATTCCCTGATAATGCAAGGGGTTTAAAGATTACTCATTGGAATATGCAGTGACTTGCCAACAAAATTGACCAAATGAAACTCATTGTACAGGATGAGAAACAAAAACCTGATGTTATAGGGATTACGAAACGTGGCTCAACAAAAACTATGCAGATGCCTTTATTAAAATTGATGGTTATCATTATCCACCAGAGAGAAAAGATAGGTCACGTGCCACGCATGGTGGGGTAATTAATTAATTATGTCAGCACATACTTCGATTATGATCGGAGAGATGATTTAGAGTCTGGGGACATTGAAAATATATGGATCGAAATCAAACCCAGAAATGCACAACAAATCCTGTTACGTACAATTTATAGACCTGAACATGACAGAATTCCTGTGTGGTGTGAAAAATGTGAAGGAGAACTTGACAATGCTTATATGGAAAACAAAGAGATTATTATCATGGGCGACCAGAATATTGATTTACTGAGGCAAAACGAGGTTCCCCATTGTTGGCGTGATATTGTGGAGGGTTTCCAACTAACACAACTCATTACTGAACCCACAAGAGTAACAGAAACAAGTGGATAACTCCTTGATCACATGTATGTGACAAATTCTCAGAATATAAGACAGTATTATATCGTTAAATCGGGAATGCGTGACACCACTCAACCCGTTTAATTCATAAAACAGGTGAACATGGCAGCACACCACCATCACATATATGCTACAAGACCTTTGACCCAATGAAATTCAATGAAGATCTAGAAAACTGCCATGGAATATCCTGGACATGTTCAATGAAGTCGAAGAAGCCCTGGATACTTTCACTACCTTAGTTGAAGAGGTTTTAGATGAACATGCTCCATGGCGAGAGAAAGGTGTCAAACAACATAAACAGCCACAATGGATATCAAATGACATTTTAAAAGCTAGCATACCAGAGACAATTACGCTAAGGTACATGATGACATAAACTATAAGATCTGGCATAATAAGGTGGTTAATATGATAAAAACTACAAAGCGTGACTACTACATTAGTCTATTTGATCAAAACAAATCGAATAATAGGCACACTTGGAAACACTTTAGAGAACATGACCCCAAGCCCACTATTCCCCCTCCACTCAAACGTAAAGATGGGGAGGCAGTCTTAACGAATCCCGAAGAAAATGCCATGTGTTTCAACTACTTTATCAATTTTAGCAATTCTGATACTTTTTTACCATTCCCCAAATCACGCAAGAATTCGTTAATTCGTCCAGTTAAACAGACGATATAAACTACAGAAAATATCGGCTAGGATGATTTTTGATCTTCCTTCGCGAACTCCGGATGACTGTGATGGATAGGGTTGATTACCGGCGCTGTGTTATGATCTATAAACCATTGAATAATCTTGCTCCAACATATATATGAGACAAATGTTTAAAAAGGTCAGAGAAGTCAGCACTAGGACTACCCGAAATTCAGGCAGTTCCAAGTTATACTGGGCTCCTGGTAAAATCTTAAAGTATATTCAGATAACTTCCAATTCTCGGCTGCTGAATTTTGGAATAAAATATCACTTTGTGATGGTGACTCAATTGGAGCTTTCAAAAGTAACTATTTTATGTCATAAATTTAGTTGTTATGTTATATTTCTGTAATTTCTTTATTTATAAATGTATTACTAATTTCTGTATATAGTACTAATTTTTGAAGACCATGTGTGAGATGAGCCTATGGCTTAACATGCTTTTTTTATTATTATTATTATTATTATTATTATTATTATTATCGCTCTTACTTAAATCCAAGTTGTTTACATATAACTATAGCTACTGCGTCAGTGACGTCATCAGCACATACTCTTGTCCATTGCGCAGCATTGTATAATTCGACATATCCCTCATTTAATAAATCACTACCCACTAGCCTTACATCACCATTTTCTGAAATATAAAAACACAACAGATTTTAGTAATATGGATTAAACAGGTAGTCATATATACCCTCGTACTAATAATTAGTGGTCTGAGCCTCGTATTAAAACATATCGTTACCATGACTATCGAAATATATGTACGTACCAGTAATCGAAATCGATTAATCATTGGTTTAGTTCATTGTGTCATCAGGTTTGTTATAGGTTTTAGATATGTTGACCACAGACATAAACTGGCATAAAATACTACAAAAAATATTCTATTGTGAAATTACCAAATCAGATTACATGATCTTTTCTTGACCTGAAAGTGGATACTTTCGGATTTTATCCGGGTAAAATTACGTAATTATACCTTCATAGTCCACCTCATTTTCACAGACAATTAATTTATCAGTTTGTTCACTGCACTGTCTTGGTGTGTAATGCCCGAATACACGACAATCCAAAATATTTCGTTCTGAACCAATACATCTACGATTTAACGAGATTCTTTCAATATCCAAAGTGTTTGCCAACTCATAAGAATCAATTAGACCATTCCTGAAAATCAGTAATAAAATCACTCATTGACAAAGCAGTGACAACAAACTATAATAAAAATTATATATTGTTCAAAATATTCATTTTCCTTTTTAAAACGCACACATAATTGCAAAGGAGGTGTTACAGAGTCTTCAACCGAATGTTCTTATAACCAAACTTTATTCTCAAATTATCTTATGTGTTTACATGAAGTCGTCTGAACAAGCACATTTTAACAGCGTTTATGAACGAATTTTCAACATGTAATAAGTTTTTGTCTGTATTGCATTTCGCCGGAAACGAAAGGCTTATAATCTTTATCAGTTCGCACGTGACATTATACGAGTTTAAATTATGTCATTTTGAGTGCAGAGAGGCGAACTCCGTAAAAATATTTTACCTGAGTTTTCTTCCACAACGTGTGTGCAAAAAAGCTGTATGTGGACATAAATCCCGGTATTTCATTATTAATATAATCATGCACCTAATATTATATACCTGTATCCTAGTTGTTTACACACGACGTGGGCAGTAGTATCCGTGACGTCATCGTTGCATATTCGATTCCATTTTCTGTCTATATAAATTTCAATGAAACCTTTATTTGCAAAATGGGAACCAACAAGTCTTACGTCCCCATTATCTAAATCGAGAGAAAAATCAATAAATTCATGTATAATATGTTGGTTGGCATTATGCATGCTTTTATTGGTCAATAGACCGATCTTCTAAGAATTTTACAAATCCATAAATGCACGTCCCATGTACTTGTGGTAAGACTGTTATTGACTATAACACGAGTTGCATGTGCATTCCTTTGCTATTGTTGTACATATTTATAGAACAACTAGAAAACAATAATATAAGATGCCTTACTCGGAATTCTACATGATATCACAACTCCCTGTGTCTGACAGGAAGATTCGGTATTTCCGTAAATGCAATCCACCAGATAGTTTTCATTCCCGTTACACGTAATGTCTTGTACCATTATATCACTAAAATTGAGTCCATATCTGCCAGCATTGTAACCGATTTGTTCGTACCTTTGAGTAAAGATGTTCTTTGTTAATAGAAATATACGAGAACATGTGATATGCTATTATCCATAACACCTATTGCCCACTCCAAACACTTTTCGTGGCGTGTTAGACAGGTAAGAGAAAAAATACCAGAACACTAAACCTGTGAACTGGTCAATCGATATATATTTTACATGGATGAGACTTCCATATGTACATATGACAATAACTATAGAATATCATAAAGTAGTCAATGTTGGCAAAATATTGGCTTTACTAAATAATTACTGTCAAACGAACATTCACGTGAATACCGCGCACGACGAGATTCGAACTCGCACACACGACGAAGCTCCTCGCGACACGGCAAAATGCAGTATACCCAGTATATCTATGTGTTTTTCCCAGCTACACATTACTTAAATGTATAATCTGCTGAATTTTACGCTGTGAATGCGATGGGTTAATGTGTATTACTCACATATATCCCAATTGTCTACAGACAACATGTGCTTCGTTTTCTCGGAAATTGTCGCCACAAATTGTGTGCCAATTATTGTTATCGTATATATCCAGTCGTCCTTTTGTGGCAAAAACATCGCCAACCAACCTTACATCGCCTTCGTCTGGTAAAAAAAGATATTGCAACGTTATCTCCGGGGTGGGATGATTTTTTCTTTGTAAGAAAGGTAAATCAATCTAATGCGTGAATGGACGAACCGTTAAGAAAACACGTCTGAGGGTGTTTCATTATAATGCGCTGTGTTTCAACGAAGCAGTATGTGAACAAAACAATATTACCGGGCACTTTACATCGAATAGACACATCCTCGCTATTATCACAGTTGTGATCTCCCCATCCACGATGAGCACACTTTTTGAGTCTATTTTCTGTCCCTGTGCATTCGATTTCACTTAGCCAGATTGGACCACGCCCATGTCCGTACGCCCCTTCGTTTTGAACTTCACCACCACTGTACATTAACAGTAAATATTTCACTCAATGTACGAACGCATGGAAATGTGGAAAAATCAACATTACATTTGATTTTGATATAATCTCCAGCTTTCACATTATTAGAGTCAATTTTTTATTTGCATCAAAGGGCATTGGCGCCACATGAATACAATCATGAGTCACATCTACAATTATTGGATAGAGTCATTGAGTATAGTAGAGAACTTTGATAAATTTAACAAGAGCTGTTTCTTCCATTAAATAACAACTGAAAATAATAAGGCCAGCTGTTATAAGATACAACATGGCACAACATACCTGAATCCGAGTTCCCGACAGACAACCTCACTATCTATTGCGTCAAACTTGTCATCGCATACTGCACCCCATTGTCCATCAAAAAATACTTCTACTTTGCCTTCATATGGGTGATCACCTCTCACTAGTCTTAAACCAGACTCTGGGAGGTCGACAGTCATATAAACCATTATAATAAACACATGTAATAGAAATATCACCAGCAATAATTAACTATTCATGGGCTGTTGTAGATATAAAAATATTATACGTCTGTCACCGTAACGCCACATGTTACAGAGCGCGGAGTATTTTCATTCTATCATATTAGGTAGGCGAATTCCCAAATATGGAACGTATACGCGGGTGAGCGTCCTCCAAATAATAATAAAAAAAACATGGCTGCCCCGGGGTTTGACCGGACCCCCACAAAGAAGTTCGCTAAAACTGTTCTAAACATTTTGGATTTCGGCATTCAGATAATGTATTCCTGGGAGGAAAAGAAGTATAAAAATATTACGATGATCCTGCAAAAGTATGCACTAAGACAGTACATGGTTGCATCGACCTCATAATATAACAAAATGAGCGTCATTTGATGACTGTACGTTTGTTATACTGTGCATTTTATTTCATACTTTATTGTGTGTTTTTTTTGTTATTACGAGTTATTTAATTCCTGTCACGCCATTGTACAATGCGACAGTTATTGATTTGAGTTTCAATAGGTAAAATTCGCATAGGTATTTTTAATATACAAGCTATGTTATTTCTTGCGGTACGAAGTAAAGCCAGACATAGATGTTTTTGTGGCACCTGTTAGAAGGCGCTTTGGCATACCGCATTGGCTTGTGGTAGTGTATTGTGTGACTTGGTCAGTCTAGGCGTTGCCACGTCACAGTCAGCAGCTCGTCAAGTGTGTATTTGCTTTATCTCACTGCGTATCATTCTAAATGAAGGACCCGCCAGCTACCTCTGGTGTACAGCAGCTTCTGCAGGAAAATAACGCGCAACTTTTGCAGTCGATTAACGCTCTAGTTTCGCAAAAGATGACTTCTTTAAGAGACTAGTTGCAATCGTCGCATGACCTGTCCACTCAAGTCCAGATGGTAGAAATAAAGAAAGTAAAATATGGCATTGTTCCTACATTCAAACGGAAAGCCAATGAAGATCAGTATAAGCACAATATCAAAGTTGCGGACGTATTAGAAGAGGTGCAGTCCAGTTTGCAGCTTGCAAAATATGATACCGTGAAAGAAAAACTTGCTGCAGGTATGGACTTAATCGAAAAGCGCCAGAAATTGGTCCTACTTGCAGATACCTCTGAATACGGCTGGAGTACAGCCTAAGAATACGTATCGCATGACTTGGCCATTGACAGTGAAGACGAGAGGAGATTATGGAAAGCCGAAACGAGAGCGAGCAGAAAAATCAAGGATAAAGTTCAGAAGGCAAAGAAGACCCGTACTCGAAGAATTGTCAGCCAACAGGACCTTACCAGTTCCCAGAGTTAGACTTGACATCAGACACCCAGCACTAGCAAAGGTTAGTGGTCCCAGACAGGGAGTCTGTTTTGGTTGTGGTCGGCAAGGGCATTACCGTTTTGAATGCAGAGCTATGCCAACAAGTTGAAATCTGCAAACTGGTCCCAGTAGTGGCAAATGACTATTACATGAAAGAAATTTAATCGAGATAAGTACCGATTTTCGTTTCCTCTCTCATAATTTGCGTTTTTCGGATGGGAGTGCTATGCTCGCCGATGGAGATGCGATACCAGGGTGTAGTCCGGTTGTGGTAAGGGATCGTCTTTTGAAACGTATAAATGTATGGTTACAGATTTCTGCTTCTAAGTTCGTTATAGATCCTATTAGGTTTGGGTATAAAATTCCCCCTTTTCTCCAACCCGCCACCCATATTTCTAAAAAACAACAGGTCGGTACTCAATAATTCTGCTTTCGTTGAACATTCCATTTCTAACTTGCTTTTGTCCACAGCAACCGAGGAGACGTTAGTGCCTCCTTTAGTATGTAACCCTGTGTCAGTGGCTGTCAACAAATAAGGTAAGAAGCGCCTTATCCTGCACGTTTTCAAGAATAAATTTCGCTTTGAAGACCTGAAAACTGCTCAGGATATTATTTTAAGCCAGGATATTTTTTATTTAAGTTTGATCTTAAATCTGGTTACCACCACATCGATATTTTTCCTGAACATCGCAAGTACCTGGGTTTTTCGTGGGAGTTCGCTGGGAAGCAACGTTATTTTTACTTTTGTGTTTTACCCTTCGGTTTATGCTCTGGGCCATATATTTTTACCAAGATACTTCGCCCATTAGTTAGTAAGTGGCGAGGGGAAGGGAAAACCGTTGTGGTCTATCTTGACGACGGCCTTGGTGCCAGTGGTTCACTAAAGTCCGCTTCTGCGTGCGCAGCAGCAGTAAAAAATGATTTAAATAATTTTGGTTTCATCACAAATGAGCAGAAATGTCAGTGGACTTCAGTTAGTAAGTTAGTGTGGTTCGGAACAGTGCTCGATATGGAGCAAGGTAAGTTTGTATTACAGTTGATCGACTCAGTCGCCTAGAGGTGACTATCACTGGTATTTTAACCAATTCCGTACATTCACGTACGACGTCCAGGTTTGTATCTGCCAAGAAAGTGATTGTTTCTATGAGAGTGGGTGCAGGTAATATTGCTTTACTTATGACTAGAGCGCTGTATTGCGCCCTCTATCCTTTGAGTTCTTGGGATAGTTGTGTTTTATTATCGGAAAGGGCCATTGTCAAACTAAATTTCTGGAAAGACAATGCTCGTAAACGGCGCCCCCATCTGGCACGTTGAAAAAGCAACAAGGCTGGTATACTCCGACGCCTCTGACAAAGCGTTTGGTGGGTAGGTGGTTGAATGTGGCATTTCTGCGGTACACGGGATGTGGGATGAGGGAGAGCGGTGTCTCACTTCTACATGGAGAGAACTACAAGCAGTTTACAAAGTCTTGTGTAGTATTGTACATTTACTATCAGGTCGTACTGTCAATTGGTTTACAGATGGCCAGAATGTAGTGTTTATTGTACACAAGGGCAGTATGAAGTCCGATTTGCAGGTTATTGCTTTAGCTATATTTAGTAGCTGTTCCCAGCACGGAATTTCTTTAGAATTGGATCCCAACGAGTGGCAAACAAAATTAGAATAATTTAAGCACACAGTAAACCAATGTAATGGGACCAATGCCCAGGGACCAATGATGAGAGTACACCAAACCAGTATATGACCTGCCACTTCCTGATATACTTGCCCTGGACTTCCCTTCTGTTTGCAACCCGGTTTGTGATAATAAACATGTGTGTGAAACTTTATTTCCTTCAAGTCCACCTGTGTTTCCCTTGGTAGCATTCATACTTACTGTCCGGAAAAGGGTGTCAAATATCCACAGTTTGTCAGAAAAGAGGTAGGAAATTTGAGTTCATTTCTGTCTGATAAGGGGTACAGGGGCAGGGGGTAGGAGGGTAGGGGTTTCAAACAACCAACAAGTACCCCCCGGGTAACAGACACAGTAACTACAACACAATTTGTGTAACTACTTCTAACTATTGTAATACTGTTTTTCTTCAATCCTAACATTTTGTCGAGTTGCATTAAAGCTTTTTAGTTGATTGCCAGATAATATTGTATAATTAATTTGTATATTAATTAGAAATTACATCATTATTACATTTTTTTAACATTAAGATTTTGTTTAATTGCGTTGAGGATTTGCACATTCGTACTATTATACAGCGAGAAGTTTATGACAGGTTGTGGGTAATGGTAATATAAATAATTAAAAATAAATCTTAAATCATAAACTGTATACACCAAATAAGATAATAGCTCTCACCTTCTGTTGTATCTTCACATGAAATTCCGACGTCTTCTGAATGCTCACATGCGTGTACACCCCAGCCAGAATGTTCACACTCGTGTAAAGAATACATATAGCCTTTGCACTGAAGGTTTGCTAACCAAATAGAGCCGCTTCCTGCCGGGTAACTTCGTATCGTCCCAATTCTATAATGAAATATACTAGTATATGATAACCAGAAACAAATGTTCGCACAGCTACATATTTAAGCAACAACCCCCCGCGGCCGCCGAAGGCGGGTATACCACTTGATATTGCACAATTCACGACATATATGCACGAGCCGCAGGGGTTATTGCTATTATATTATACCAGTATATTGACAA